ATTCCATACCACGAAGTGCAAAAGGATGCACCTGGGACGCACCAATAGTAAAGAGGCGTATTATATGTTCCAACAGGACGGAGACCGCATTAACTGAGACGAATGTGAAAAAGGACAATGAACTTAAGTTCTCAGTCCATTGTGAGAAGGTGAATCAGGTAATGAAACTACAGTAGTAGGTCTTAAAAGAAGGTCGTTTAGATATCTGGATGGCCCGCACTCGTCACGATCTTCAAGAGCGAGGTGGTTCTCCATCTAGAGTACTGTCACCCCGTCTGGTCCCCGATGTATGCTAAAGACTATCAATTGAATGAAAATGTCCAAAGGAGGGCCACCAGACTGGTGCCTGCTCTACGGAACCTCCGTTACCCGGAGAGATTGGAGGGCCTGCAACTACCTAGCTTATACTACAAACTGGCGAGGGGCTACCAAATCGAAGTGTATTGTTACGACCCCCCTCCTTTCCCCGCTTACTCAGCTTCCATCACTGGTTACCAGCGGCTAGGGTCGTATGTACAGAAGTAGTAGATATCTCGAGTGTTGTCGAATTCCCACTGGCTGTCTCTCCAGTAATTTCCCGACGATCGGTAACAGCGCACAGATGGACAATAGGCAGGTAGATTTCCACCGGGTCACAGAAATACACTTGTGCACTGTAGTCTCCCTTAATAAGCACTGATTCTTCACAATACTGTTAACAGGGCAAAGTCTTCACAGCTTTGACTCCACACTTCGAATACTGTATATAGTCAGCGCACTACCAGTGTACAATTCCTTAGTCTTCTCACTTTATATTAATCGCAATAATTCCACAATACTTGCACAACAATTATCTCCAGTTGTTCTGCTAGGCTTTTTCTTTAAATTCTGAACAGAAGCGATCGATTGACTGCTAGCCTACTCGCCCTGTTTATATATGCCTCGTCAGAAGCATCTCGAACATCCTAGCACCACCCAGAGATGCCTGGGAGATTGTATAACGTTCTACCCTAATCGAGATTTACATTAATAAGTAAATCATAACAAAAATGATGCAATACATTCTAGAATGTTCTTACATGATTAATACATCAATATATAGGCCTACACGAAAATTTCACTAAATTTGTCAAAATAACTGCTGCATGGGACAGAAAACAACAAAAACACCTAGTTTACAAAATTATAATATGAAATTATGCCCCGGCATAATAGTATAAACATCTCAGTCGAATGTACAATCAAAGATAGAAGTCGTGTCGCGGTTTTGTCCGAAGATTAAATATAACTCGTGAAACCTTATGAGAGCCCCCTACCATAAGGCAGAGCGCACCAAAAGTTTAGCCCTTCGGCATACTGTATGTTTTCACCAAATTTCACGACACGATTTTTGTCTTTCATTGTACATACCTGGAGCTGGCGGAAACCCTGTAGTGGATCCTCTCCCTACAACTGACGACTGAGCTCCTGCCGCATGCTTACCAGCCAATCAGCGTACAGCCAGCGATGCCGATAGACCTACTCCCCAGTGTGGACGCACACGTAGCAACTCCAGGAGAGGCCATAGCTTCCCACGACATGCCAGGATCACGGAACCTGGTACCTTTCGCGTTCTTTTGACCCTTCACTGCCAAAGCCTGCCAGCCTGTCTCTAAGCGTTGACGACCCGAACGAAAACGACCACCTCACCACCATTACTTACACACCCGGGAAGCTCGTTCCAGACAACGCCCTTTCTGTGCCTCCCCACTGATCAGGGGTGACTCCTGATCAGAGGCGGCCCTGATTGGGAGATTTGTAACGGCTTTCTGCAGCGGACTTGGGCCGCGATCCCACTGGTGTTACTTGCACCAGTGGCTGCTTTTCTTTGATCATCCTTCTTTTTCGCTCTGGCCTGGGGACCTGCACCCTAGAGGTGTATTCGTCCTTGGGTACCCCCTGTAATTGTTCACCTCCCTCCCAGGAGTTTGTGAACAAGAAAGGGGGCAGGAGCAGTACCCATCCCTCCGCCGAGCCTTCCTAGGTAACCGTGATCGTGCGGGTCCACCTGGGAAGGGGGTGGCAATCCTGAATCCCTACCTCCCCCCTAATTAGGTACACTAGCTCACGTCTATAAGTGAGCATTCATTAACTCTAGGGAAGTAGGAACCCCTGACGGGGCTTCCGGGACAGAGTTGCGGGAACCACTCTACGACCACTCGACCAACAAGTGGCGGTGGGGAGTGTTGTAATTCCTGTAACGAACTCCATTCCTGGAATAGGTAGGTCTACAATCTCAAACCACGCAAGGGTGGCATGTCCACCACATACTCTCTGGAATGAGGGTACACCGGGTACGGATACGCTCCCATGAAGGGGGCGTGACTGACGAGAGAAAAACCGAATTGGCAAGACTCCTCACTGCGACCCTACTCCTCAAAATATCCAACCTCATCACGGCCAAGGACTTGTAGTGGAATTCTCCCCTACAAACGCTGTTTGTCGCTGCCTAGCCGACCCCACCAATTCCCAAGTGTATGTCTCGTGGTCTAGGTCAACCAGCGCCGCCATACATCACGGAGCGGGGGTCAACTGCTAAGCCACGCCTACCCCCGCTATTTAAGACCTGACCTCGTGGTGATCGCGCTTCCTACCCACAGCCACAGCCAGCAACACCTCTTCCTCTGCCGCTGCCTGGCGGCCTTCCCTCGCTCCTCCGCCTGCCTGGCGGTCCTCTCTCCCGCTGGCGAGCATGGCGACCCACAAGCTGTCCTTCTCTGAGCATCCTCACCAACCAGCTCTCTCTACATCATGCTTGTAACCATGCTGCCTTCCCAGCACCAAGCTGCATTGTACATCCAATGCAACATGTATATAGAGAGCACATTGTGAGTTTCCTTTCTCCATTCCATCCTGAGTGTGAACCAAACATCTTGAACCCCACAGACTCCTTCATCACCCTGTGCCTGACTGACAATGATGTGGTCTTACTCTTATCGAACGAGAGCACTAGGAAACTCAAGTCAGCAAAATTTGAAGTTGCAGTCCCTCCTCAACTCCGAGCAAGGAAATCAATTGTGGTCAAACGACTAGATAAAGCAATCGCCGAAGAATCAAGTGAACAGCAGTTGGTATCTGGCATAGAAGACAGAAACGAATGGGCCAAGGTGGAGGAAGCGGTCAAGCTGCCCAGACTGCCATCCATGCTCAAAATAAGAATCACAGAAATAGCCATGGCCCAAAGAGCAATCCAGGAGGGACTTTCTCTCCTACTACCATGTCAACAGTAGCCAGGTGGAGAAGGAGGAATTCTTCCCCATTATTCCATGCTGGAATTGTTACCAATATTCACACATGGCTACAGACTGCCCTAACAAGGACACCAAGCACGGCTCAGAATGCGGGAACAAGGAGCACACCTTTAGAGAGTGCAAAAACAAAGATGATCCCAAATGCCTAAACTGTGAAGGAGATCATAGAACACTGGCTACTCGTTTGCCCCATACGAAAAGCAATAGTCAACCAAAAGAAGAAGGAGAGGGCTTAGACGCAGGGACAGCAAAACAGGACATACTCAGCTGTGACAAAACTAACCAGAGAAACGACAAAGATCCTCGAAAAAGTCGCCAACACCCCCCGCAAAGCAACCTATTTTGCTTCAGCTTGGAAATAATCTTTCCGTAAAGATAATGACCTCCATAATCCACGCCCACATCATGAATATAGCCAGACCTGGAACTTTTGCCAAGGCAGCAAGGGACATGTTCGCCGCCAACAACCAGTCATGGAATCCCCAAACGATGTGCCTTCTACTGAAATTTGTAACTAAATATACAAACCAGAGCATTGCAACTCACGAACCATCAACTCACGAACCATCAACTCAAGAACAGACTATCTCAGACATACAACTCGAGCCAGCAAGCGAGGAAGAATCGATGGATGACGTAAGCGAAGATGAAACCACCACAATAACAGAACAAGCCGCCAGAGTCAACACCCAGAAAAAGAATCAAGCAGGAACTATGGCACCACCTTCTCCCAGAGAGACCACGGAGAACAAAGACCTAGGGTATGAAACTGGTATACGATTTTACTCCACTACAGCCCCCACCTCAAAGTCTCAACAGAAAGACTATTGGCAGAAATAAGGCAAGGCAAGATTAAATACACATATTCAGACAAAGACCTAAATGACACACATATTGAAACACTAATCAAGAAAGGAAGAATACTCACAAGACACAAAAGAATAGAATTGATCAGACGACATACAGAAAGATCCGCCTGGGCCTGGACAGGAGGGTGTTGTGGGGTTCAAGATGTTTGGTTCACACTCAGGATGGGATGGAGAAAGGAAACTCACAATGTGCTCTCTATATACATGTTGTATTGGTCACAGCCGGTGCTGGCAGCAAAGCAAGCGGGCGCGTGATGTAGAGAATGGTTGGTGAGGACGCTCAGAGAAGGACAGCTTGTGGGTCGCCATGCTCGCCGGCGGTAGAGAGGACTGCCAGGCAGGCGGAGGTGTTCTGGCTGGTTGGTGTAGGTAGAAAGAGACAGGTCACCACGAGGTCAGGTCTTAGCGAGTAGTAGGCGTGGCTTAGTAGCGACCCCGCCTTGATGTATGGCGCTGGTTGACCTAGACCACGAGGCATACACTGGGGAATTGGGGGTCGGCTACTCAGCGACAAACAGCGTTTGTAGGGGAGAAAACCACTACAGGTGTCTCATCAGTAAAAAAATGCTGCAACTGTAGGAAAAATCAAAGTATTCACAGACTGCTTTACACATCGTCTGTTAAATGTCAACAGACATAAACATATTACTTAAAAAGTATTATAATGGATTTGTTTCATATATGGAAAAAAGAGTGATTGAAAATACCGCAAGGTGACCCGCAGAAAAATACTTAAATCGTAATGATGTCCATTACTGAGTGAAGGTTCCCCATGGCTGCCTTAATGAATACATTTGACACTGATATATTATCATCCATCCCTGCACTCTGTATTAAAACAAGAAGACGTCACGAACGGGAGGTTTGTGTAACGAGATTGACGAAAATCTGGATTTATTTATGTTATTTACTGTAGTGAAGGGCGAGTGGTAATGACTGCCACTCAAACAACAGCGTCCCAGGTTTGTATTATTAACACTAAACCTGCCTGGGTGTATATTGACAAGACATATGGAGTAAAATTTTCAATATTTTGAATTGACTTGTAAGTGTTGTATACATTTCCAATGTATTATTTGACGTATTTACTCAGTGTATTAACAAGTTGAGACAAGCTTCCTCAGAGCCAGTGTTGTGTGCACTTAATCGTTATAAATGATCACATGTAAAGCATATACTGTACATAGTCAATACATCCGATTTTTCATAGAAAATTTATTTAAAACCCCTGCAATTTCACTGTTTTGCAGTGGACTTTGTCGTAGTTTGGGCAAATGTGTTAAAAATGGTTATTTCTAAATTAAACGCAACCTAACCTTAGTTGAGAAGGACATCAGCGGCTGGCATATTAAACAGGGTAAAATTATAGCTTCGGTCATCCACCTATTTGGAAGTTGAAACTATGTTTTTTCAATGGTTTTGATGTGTTTTGAACGATTCTGACCATTTGTACTGCAAATCACAAAATTTTGAGCATATCCCTTTAACTGATGATAATGGGGGACCTCCAGTGGGAACCAGGGATTTTGGGTGAGGGAAAATCACAAAAAAGTAATAATTTGCGAGAGAAATGAAGGTAAAATGATCATTTCGGTCATCCACCTGTTTAGAACCCAACCGTTAATAATTAGTCATAACACAGCTTTTCAAATGCAACCTAACCTAACATATCGTAACCTAATAAAATTCGCTGGATGACCGAAACGATAATAATACCAAAATAAAGGTCAGAATCATTCAAAACACATCAAAAACCATCGGAAAAACATAATTTCAACCTAACCGAACCTAACCTAAACCTAATAATTTGTGGAAGAAATGCTGCTGAAGAAACAAGTCTTAGAATTGTCTAGACTACTGATTCCAAAACTTAAAATTCTAAAATTCGCTGGATTACCAAAACGATAATATTGCCTTGAACAGAAATAACTTTCTATTATATGGTGTAATTTTTTGTTTTCTGTGGACGTGAGAGAAGCTGCTAAGACCAAGCGGCTCATAAACAAGCAGTGAATAGAGGAAAACATCGAGCTGAGATTGGGGTGCCACATGTTAATATCGCCATGAAAGACAAAGTAATGCTGTTAGAGTGAGCCTAGGGTTCTAATTGACCAAACAAAGCATTTACCCATATCTGAACTCAGCGATGAAAATATAGTAAGAAAAGATACATCAAAACAAATTGCACTATGACAGGTTTGTCATCAATATTAAATAATAGTTTACATATACAAACTGTACATACTCAGTTGGTATATAAACAGCAGTAAATAACCCTTATTAGTATGAAACATAAATGTGTGAGAAGGAGCACCTTTAGGAAAAACTTTTGAAGAAAACTTCTTTCTTACCCTAAAAGGAAAATTGGATGAACTGCAACTTTTAACTTTTGTTGATAATAGTGGAGGAGACGGCTAACACCAGAACGTGCTGTTTGATTACGTTAATTTTTTTCACAGATGTCCTTTGGATGATAGTAAGTAATAAAAATGATACCGCAATGTACAGAACCTAATAGAACATGACCTAACCAACCAAAAAATCATACCTAGCTTTACTTAACTTCCTAGCAGGGAGGACCTTTCCCCTCCCACCCCCACCATATTAAACAAAGTATTTACCCTGTACTCTGATATCTGGTACCAATGAAAGCAACTTTCTTGTGATGTATTTTAACGTTTTCTGATGGTATGCTCGGAACGGGTTGGATTGTTGCATAAAAAGAAACAGAGAACGGACGAGAATACATAGACAACGGCTGAATTTTCGGTGGAATATTTACGGTAAATAATTTTTCTTTCATGCAGAGTACGTAGAGACATCATTTTAGCATCCAATGGTAATTTTTTCACTATGTTTGACCCTCACAATTTCTGTCATATCCATACCCTGCCCACTACAAGTGATTTATGATCATAGATAAAGAGAAATTATAGAAGAAAATTGTCATATCAATTTTATTACAATCATCCAAAAAAACGAATGTGTTCAAATGAATGAAACTGAACAACTTCTTCTGGTGTTAGCTGTCTGCTTCAGTATTACCATAGTAGGTAATAAGAGTGATTCAACAACTTTTTATTTTATTCATAAGTATTTTTCTCGTATGGCAGCTGTATTGAGACTGTATTGTTAATGGTATGGTTAGGTTAGTCAAAAAGAATGTCATCTTAGTAATTATCATTGTATAGTCTGCCCACGTATGTGCATTAGGCTGCCATACCAATAGACATTTATGTTTCGCATATGGCTGCTGTACCTATAGCTTGTGTCGAAATGAAAAACAAAACAGTTGCACAAGAAACTGCTATCACCAGTGGAGAGAGAATTAAAAAAACTGCTGGTTTGAGGAGCCAGTGTTATCTATATACAGTACTGTACCATATTTACTGCACTCAGTCGCTGGAGATAATTTAGAACAAAACTGGGTAATGATTCATTTTGCTAACCCCTTTGATTTTTATATGGTAAAATTATAGTTTTGGTCATCCCTGCATTTAGATATCCAAACTAATCTAACCTAACCAACCTAATCTAACTTATATAACCTAACCTAACCTTACTTATAACCTAACCGGGGAGCTTCACCCCCAATCCCCCTAGGATTCCTCGGATGACCAAAACTAAAATAATACCTTTTATACAAAAACACATTATTCTGGTGTATTTTGGTACAGTATTTGTTCAAATACGACCTTCATTTCCTCGGGAAAATTCCCATTTATGAGGAAATAACAATTGGACCTTTCTTCAAGAAAAATATGTTTTCGTGTCAACAATTATAGGGGAACCCATGTGGAATCGGGGGTTTTGGGTGGGGAAAGACGGGATCTAACCTTACCTTACCTACGGTGATTGGCCAATATGACGTCACACACACGCCCTAAGCCAAAGAAGATACGACGTGCCCAAGTTACGAAGTGAAGTACAAGATTATACAAGATTTAGAAAAGGGAACGAGACAGGTTGATTTGGCGCGCCAGCATGGCGTGAACGAATCTACGATCAGGACGAGCAAGGAGGATGCAGCCAAGATAATAGAACACATGAACATCACAAAGTCTGCAGGTGCTTCAATGGTGAAGTACTGCCAGAACAAAGTGCTGCTCAAGCCAGAGCTACTTGATCGGCCAGGCAAGACGGAACATGGCGTGACACGCTGTCGGTTCAAGAGTATGCACGCTGAACTGTACGAAGCAGTGCACCGAAGATGGGAATTGCAGAGCCCAAACCTCGATGCTTCCTCTGGGGGCTGCAAGGGTTAGAGAAAACAAGATCACCAACATTAACAGGTGAAGGAGCGAAACTGACCGGTTATGCTGCTAGTGATTTTCCTCCATTCTACGTGTTATGGAGAAGGACAGTACACCGACGACCAGGTGTTCAACATGGATGAATCCGTCTGTTTTGGAAAGCTACCCTTCTGTCAAGTCTGCCAGCAAGTGTCGGGGCCGAAGTTGCACGGAGTGCATCACCGTTTTGTTTACCACCAATGCCTCCGGTACCTATAAACTGTTATCGGTGACCCACACAGCCCGCGCCGCGACGCCAAGAACATGGACATGACCAAGCTAAATGTCCACTGGCAACCGCACGTGAAGGCGTGGATGTTCACTGCTCTGTCCTCTCTGGTTTGACAACTCTGCCCCACGTCAAGAAATTTGTGAGCAACAGAATGTTCCATTCAACATTTTGTTGTCCTTGACAACTCACCAGACACTCTCGCCTACTGTTGGATCGTTACCCCAACGTAAGTGGTCTTCCTTCCTCCCAACACTACGTTAATCCAGCCCATGGACCAGGAGTTGATATGCAACGTTAAGGCTGCATGCTCTAAAGACGCTTAAGCTCCTGAACGACTGTACCAACACCAGGATGAGTTATGTAACCGTGACACTGATACAGAGTGATGAGAACGAGGAACAAGAGTTGGCGGATCAAGAAGTTCGCTACAAACAGTTTTGGAAGAAATTTAACGTCAAGAAAGCTGTTGATTTCTTGGTGGAGGCATGGGATCAGCTGTCTGTAGCAACGATTCGTCACGCATGGCGGCATGTGTTGCAAGGTATCCCAGGTGGGAGGCAGAATCACCCTGTGACCAGTGAGGTTCAGTTTGTTGCAGTGGCAGTGGACCTTGCAAGAGAAGCTGCGCAGAGTGTTACAGCTGCAGGCTTCTCCGAGACCACCAACGACGACATCATGGAGGTAATCAGGGATCCTGAGGTGACTGCCGGGAGATGCTAAAGCGATGACGTCAGTGAGGAGGCAGGTGGTGCGCCATCCCGAGAAGAACAAGTTAACGCATGGTAATGTTAAGGCTGCCATCGAGTTTGCAGAGAAACTCAAGCTCGCCCTTTCCAACGCCCGACGATAACCCGATGAAGTCTTCAATAACCAGCTGTTGCAGACTATGGAGCCGCACATCGTGTGTTACGAATCAACACTAGCCAGCGAACATCACAGACTTCTTCGCCAACAACCCACCACAGCCAAAGTCAGTGAAAGTGACAGTGACGCTTATGGACTTGGGGGATTTGTCAGGGGAGTAAACTATGGTGATAGTGATGGTGATTCACCTGAGGGCCAGTAATCTGCCCTTGCTTCGAACTAGCCGCCATTCCCCATGCGTCACCATCATCTTTTACTAACGTAAGTGTTAAACCTAACCTAACTTTGATTTTTTCTAACCTAACCGAACATAAGTGTTAAACCTTGATTTTTTCTAACCTAACCTAACGTAAGTGTTAAACCTTGATTTTTCCTTTACCTGGTACAGTACAGTATATTATTCTCTTATTGATATTTCTCTTCTATATTATGTGTGTGTGCATGCCATCATAAAGTTAAGATACTATTTTTACTACAAGGTACATATTAAAGTGGGAAGTACGGTCGCCCAGTCTCTATTTCAATTAACCCTATATGTTGTTATTTCAGCTTCGCTGTTTTACGGTACTGCTGG